TGGCGCCACCCATGATACTACTTTTAAAAGAGGTTTTTCCTATTCTCCTCACTTTGTACAAGTGTATTCCGACTAAACTATTGTGAGTGGATATACTGCCGTCTAATTTACGATCGAACTAGGGAAATAGAAATACCACAAAACATTAGTTAGCATTTTTATTTCAAAAAGCATAAAGGTGATTTTTTTTTAAATTTATCATTGTCATGACGTCTGTTACATCGGAGTTCGTAAACTACTTAGTAGTATCACTACTTAAATAATTAGAAAAAGACAGACCATGTCAAAGGCTGTATAATTATTATTTAATAACGGCTTCAAAATTCAATTGACTAACTATAATTTTTTGAAATTAGAACAAGCAAAAACACCCAGAAATCTATGTATGTAGATAATATTAAACATTAATATATGGGTCTTAATAATACAAAAGGAATACATCGTTTATGGGAAATTGTGAACTATTGAGTTTGTAAAAATGGCCTAATAGGTTTACACGCTTCCAATTTCAAAAAATGTACAGCATATTGTTTTCACAATAAATTTAGACTTTGATTAAACATCGCATCCATAAAATCGATAGAGTGGTTATTGAGATGGTTACCAGCAGAGCACAAGTGAACAGACAAAATTCATGACAGTCGTTCGTAATTGTTCTTTCCACTCGCTTTGAAAAATGATGTTTTAACTATAGAAAATTAATTAAAAATGGGCTGGGGACAATTGATATGATGACACCTTTCTTTGAAAAGTGGGGAGGGGGAGGGGAACGTGTCTTCTGTTTCCCACCGATCGACGTCCATGTCATGATCAGGCCAAGTCTCTCAGCACTCTCTTGAGCCAAGCCAAAATTTTCCGCAAATGAACAAACCTCCGGAATATTCTATTTGAATTGTTTTACTATTTTTTAAAGTAATTTGTGTCATGGGCATCACCGTGCACGGATAATGCATGTTAGAAGGCCCATTAAATCCCTGTGAAGGTGACCATTCCAAAAAAGATAATTCCGGGAAAAATGATAGCAAAGAATTTAAAACGTCTCCTACAAGAATCAACAGACTAGGTCTATGTTGTCAAATGTTGTGACTTCATTATGTACTGCCTTGAGGCCGTTTTTCTCTGTGGAAGGCGCTATATAAAAATATGACCATTTACCATTGACCATTATATGTATATCTTTGAATGTGTGTCGGATCGTTAAGGCCCCGAGTCGTTTCGGTCCCCAGTCGACTGGTACAAGCAATGGAAATTATGACGCAATTGGTAGTGTGATAGTATGACGCGTTAAAGGCAAGACAAAACGCTCATGCATTCGTAAAAGCCATCAAACACATCCACAAGAGAAACAGAAAGAAACAACGTCGAACTTACAAGACATATACTTTTATCTAATAAATTTGAAAGCCGTAAATTTAAATGTACAAAATACGCTGTATGCTACAGTAGTTTGAAAACGTAATCCAGGTTCGGTTGCATAAGAGCGTTATGTATTTTGCGTTCAATATTGTTAGGTCAATGTATGAATCTATAGCAATTAATTATTATAACAACCTATCCATCTTAGACATCAAACCAGTAATCAAAGAATAAATATATAAAAAGATTTGTTTTACCATGGTTATACTAAGCCCCGTCAATTGGGTATTCTTGCTATGGTCCCATAAAACAACAACGTCAACACGTAGGTTTCTGGGACCACACATGTGGTTATGGGACAAGGCAATTGGCCTGGTCCTGTTATGACTGGTCAATAGACCTTTCCGAAGTGTCAATCAAACTTAACAACTGACTAATCAGAACAGTGCTAGGAATACGCGCGCGTCTTACAAACTGACGTGTCGCACAAACGCACGTGTTCGCGTATGTTTTAACACTGCCGTCTTGTGGGACCTTAGCAACAAAATCCAAGGGGCGGAGCTTAGCGGAACGGTCCATTGTTAAGATCTATCGAAACTGCAGAAATTTCCATTCTATTATCGGTTGTATATTGATCAAATACAACTTCTGAAAATACGAAGTAATCTATCACAATATTTGTCAAGACATTTATCAGAATCTTATTCTAATAAAGTACCAGTATATAATGAAGGCGTACTACATAATAAATAAAAAAAAATGAACATATATATATATATATATATATATATATAGACCTATAAATAGACCAAGGCTACATTGGTACTTACACCATGTAACACTTCTTAATATAATATGATCATTTTCCATCTCAATTGAAACAGAGTAAGCTACTTTTACTTCGATAGGTGAATTATTCATGTGACTACAAGTACTATATCTGTCTCTTATACACATCTAGATGTGTATAAGAGACAGGGCCTATATATAGTATATATATACACGTATATATATAATAAAAATAGTAGACTCTACTTGATCTTGAAAGAGGCGTTAATACTGAATTTAAGATATTTAATATATATAAATATATATACTTATATACAAATATTTAGGCTATAATTGTAGGCCCTACTTTTTATGCATCTACGTGCGTGAATTAATATATTCAAACACGTGGTTATTGAACATAAAATAGAAATTCAGACCTATACATAATGATACAAAGAGTAAACGAAATGTTGGCTACATTGAAATTGGTGTGATTTGGTAACTTGAATAAAACTTTAAATAAAATAATTTCTTGTTAAAACCTATTTTATCTAATATTTAGGAAAACATAACATAATGGTTTACTGGTCTTGTTTGAATCCATTTAACGAATTCATGACGAATTGTTTGATAATTGCAGTAAAAATAGTGCATAGCTATAGATGAAAACCGTGTGTGGGTGTTCCACGTCGTTTGACTGTAGAATACACACAGCATGATTGAATGTAGACAATACCCGCGACCAAAATACACCGTCGTGCGCTGTACTTATGAGCAAAAGACACCTTTGTGCAATGCATGAATGCACAAAACGACTGCCACAAGTGCGAGATGGAGTTTCATAGCTGCAACACCGCACATGACTTCCTGGCACTTTACGTATACTGAATCCTCGGTTATGGTCCAGGTTGCAGCGGCATGTGGCGTAAACACAACACACAGGTGCGTATATTCACACTTTGTTATATTCACCAACGGCAGTGTAGCAACAGCAGAAAATGTGTATGTCTCCCCGGCTGCCAGGTTTTTCCCGACATCTGCCGCCGGTTCTATGGTAGCTTCTTCATTGGCGAAAGAATGCACGCTATCGTCATCGAGGGTAGTGGTCGTGTCATTTGTGAGTCCAAAGTAACATGCCCAGTTACTGGTTCCAGTCACAGGATCCGAAGATGACGAAAGGACAATGGATACATCAACGTGTACATTCTGCCCAGTTTCGAGCCCAAATATGGCATCATCAGGGTTTGTAATTACCACCCCTGATATGCTATATACTACAGATGCATCTGAAAGAGATAATAATAATAAATTGAGATTAAGTAATAAACGTCAAGTAACGGATATTCTTTTATATAGACAAAATAACTGATGCCTGACATCGCCGTTCGACTGTGTTATGCGACCAGATTTGTCTTCCAACAAGAACATTAAATCCGGTTATCATTTGGGACGAGAGCATGGCCAGCGTAACCGGGGAGCCGGGGGCCCGGGCCCCCACTTTCTAGCAGAAAATATATAATGTCTATGCAGATTTTTTGTATGATCGGCTCATTCGCAATTCATATTCCCATTCATCTTACTAGTGCCCCTCCGCCCCGCTTCCCCCCTCCCGACTTTGAAAAGCGTTCCGCTGGCCTGAGAGGTACCTGTAGGCAATTTACAAATGCCTCCAGCTTGATATTGAATTTTATTATTTAACATGAGACTCGTTAATTCAACGATTGAAGTAAATATTAAAGTTTAATCATAAATCCAATGTACATAGGCCTACCACAGTATAGGTCTATAATTATAATTATAATAATAATATAATAATTATTATTATTATTATTAGCCCTATTATTATTATTATTATCATCCTTATCATTATAAATCCTCTTTCTGATACAGTGATACAGTCATTTCTGAAAGATGCCAATAAAAAGAGTCGACCTTTACAAGAAAATATTTCGGTGTCAATTTTTTTTTTGTTTTGTTTGTTTTTCTGGTTTTTTTTAATGGTTTTTTTTAATACTTTTACTTGTATTTTTTTAAAATTATGAGTAAATTCAAATTGTTTACTGTAAAATGTTAGGACAAAGAAAGCAAATAAGACAATTATTAATAAAAATCGAATATGATAATCTAATAGCCGAAGAAACGCGAGAAAGAAATTAGAAGGAGAAGGGGGTGCGGTGTATAGAGGAGAAAGTACCTTTATGTTAAATCTGCACATATAGGCCTATCCATATATGGCCCCGTGGTGTAATGGTTGGAATCCTACAGACACCTTTTTTTCATACAACTGAATAAAAAGGAACTTCTCGTTGAAGGGCTATGCTTGATACGACTATAAAATCTTGTTCCTATTTGAGCATTGTTATTAAATTTCCCTTTATACACATATAAATAAATAAATAGGCCTATATATAATCTGCGTGGTTAAACCAGATCATGTAGACAAGAGTGCTCAATGCAGTATATAGCAGAGCAGATAGACAAATAAAACATGTAACATTGGGTTAAAGACTCAACATTTTATTGCACTACAGGCTGTTTCATGAGGGGTACCTCAATCATCAAGCGGGTTTGAATATGAACTAAAATATAACCCTTCTACTAACACTCACATTAACAAGAAGAAAAGAAAAAGGAACGTTATTTGGTTTAATCCACCCTACAGTAGTAATGTAAAAACCAGAATTGGCCACGTATTCCTTAGAATTATAGATGATTGTTTCCCACAAATTCATGTATTAAGAAAGATTTTTAATAGGAACACTGTTAAGATAAGTTATAGCTGCATGCCTAATATAGGATCTATAATCTCTGCCCATAATAAAGCCATACTAAAAAATGACAAGGCAGAAGACAACTGCAAGCTATGCAATTGCCGAAACCATAACGAATGCCCACTATCTGGGAAATGTCTAAGTAGCAGCGTAGTATACCAAGCTACAATTAGTAGGGACGACAATAATGAAGTTGAAACATACGTTGGTCTTACGGAAAATACATTTAAAAGCAGATATAATGGGCATACCTGCTCATTCCGTAATGATAAATACAAGAATAACACTACACTTAGCCAATATGTTTGGAAGCTTAAAGAAGATAACATAAAGTACAAAATTAAATGGCGTATATTATCTAAATGTAAATCATATTTAAACTCTACCAAACGATGTTACCCTTGTATACAAGAGAAATATTTTATTATATGTCAACCCGAAATTTGTACTCTAAATCAAAGGAACGAATTATTCAGTTCATGTAGACATAGACGCAAGTTCCTGTTACGATATACTACTTAATCCTGCAGGCTTTCTTTTATCCAAGAGACAGTACATATACTTGGTAATTAACATACTTTTGTTCTGATAAACTGTCACAATCTATGTACTTCATTATTCCTTCACTCAGAGCCTAGCACCTGATGATTGAGGTACCCCTCATGAAACAGCCTGTAGTGCAATAAAATATTGAGTCTTTAACCCAGTGTTACATGTTTTATTTGTCTAGGCCTATATATATAAATTCTGGAGGGTACTTTGGACAATTTCAAATTTCTACGACGCTTGTCGGAAAAACGTGTCAGGTATCGTAACCATCTTACTATTTATCTTGAACATCGTTCTAACAATTCGGCTCCTAAAGGACTACAATTTCATGTCAGGTCCGGTATTCCATTCGCAGATCGTGACTTCCATTCCCGCTGGAATGGCGTCCTTAACAAAAATGCATGTCGATTAAATGAGGTCCTAATTGGCAAATGCCGCAAACTCCTCAAAGACATCGACAACCAAATTCACTTTAGGACTAGAAGGCTAAAAAGAGACCTTCCTATATCTGAGTTTCAAAACAAACTCAAGATTATTGCCAAGGATTGCCTTAAGCTTTCCAAGAAACTTTCCCTGAGGAGACAACACAAATTTGGTCCAGACAATATCACTTCAACACAAGTGATCCAACCTTCGCACAATGTTTGGCTTTCACGTAAACTTAGAAGGTTCATTCGGCGCTTTAGTGACAATCCGTGCATTCAGGCCATTGAGGAGGACGTTAAAAACCACACTCCTAGTCCAGATTTCCGCGACAATCTCACAAAAAATGAGAGGCAGGCCATCGCCAATTTGCGTCAGCGTGATGATATTATCATCAAACCAGCTGATAAAGGCTCTGCCACTGTCGTAATGGACACTAAATTCTATGAAGATGAGTCCTTAAGACAATTAAACAATCCTCTTCACTATCGGAAGCTCACAGAGGACCCCACTCCGGAAATTTCTAAGGAAGTGGAAAAATCTGTATTAAAGATGGTTAAAAAAGGTTCCATCGATCCCAAAATTGGACCCCATCTCATCCAGGTCGATCCGGCACCCTGTCTCTTATACACATCTAGATGTGTATAAGAGACAGTATATATATATATAAATCCACAAAGCAGGCCATCCTGGCAGACCCATTATTTTGGGCAACGGTACTGCTACAGAAAAAATCTCTGAATATGTGGATGATTTATTGAGACCATATGTTGTTGCTCTCCCCTCGTACATTCAGGACTCCACGGACTTTATCCGCAAAATCAACCAAATTTCAAATTTACCTAATAATACTGTTCTGGCTACACTTGATGTTTCGTCATTATATACTAATATCCCTCACGAAGAAGGTGTTAATGCGTGTATTTCAAATTACAAGCAAATTCGGGGCAAAACCCCGTCTAAATCACATCTCCGTGAACTTATCATGCTGATTCTGACCAATAATAACTTTGTTTTCGGCGACGGTCATTACCTTCAAATTCATGGCACAGCGATGGGCACCAAAATGGCTCCATCTTTTGCTAACTTATTTATGGGACAATTTGAGGCCAATTTCCTGTCTTTACAGCCAAAGAAACCAGATGTTTGGTTTCGTTACATTGATGATATCTTCATGATCTGGACCCATGGTGAAGATAGTTTGGATACGTTCCTATTGAACATTAATTCGGCTCATCCCACAATCAAATTCACTGCTAACAAATCCAAGATGTGTATAAGAGACAGGGCCTAAGCTAGGCCTAGTTCAGTACAGTAGTTACTGCGATGCGTGGGTGGTAGATCGTTCAGTCAGTGATATCGTGTTATCGTCTAATGCATTTTAATAATGTGTGTAAAATTTAAGAATGCACCGCGTGGGTCGCTTTCTCTTTGTTATGCGGTAGTAGTATACGTAGCAGAGTGACTAGCCTAGGACCTAGATAGTATCGCCGAGAAACTAAATTTGACTAATAGGATTGAACGCATAGCAGAAAAAGACGCATTCGTAAATATATATATATATATATATATCTGTCTCTTATACACATCTTGCGAGAGTACTGGCGTATATATAAGTCTTATACGAAACAATAATATAAAATACCGCAATAATTACCATTTCCATTTCCATTTCCATTTCCATTTGAATTTTCTGTCACTCCGTTTCCCGCTGCTGTTGTTGCTGTTGTCTCTCCTTGTTCACCTTCTCCCCCTCCATTTTCTGTCGCTTCATTTCCCGCTGCTGTTGTTGCTCCCCCTCCATTTTCTGTCGCTCCATTTCCCGCTGCTGTTGTTGCTCCCCCTCCATTTTCTGTCGCTTCATTTCCTGCTGCTGTTGTTGCTGTTGCCTCTCCTTGTTCTTCGTCATCTGTCGCTCCACTTTCTGTCGTTCCACTTTCTGTCGTTCCATTTCCTTCTTCTGTTGTATTTGGTGCCCCTCCCTCTCCCTCTCCCTCTCCCTCTCCACCACCTCCTCCATTTTCTGTCGTCCCACTTTCCGTTGTCCCTGTTGCCATACTGTCCGTATTAGCAGTTACGTTTACGCTCTCTGTAACCGTAACCGTAAAAGTAACCGTAACATCTTCCGTTCCCTCTATACCGGTAGTGGTCATATTGGTTTGTGCCACTACATCTGATATTGAATAAACAGAGTCAAGATAACAGCAATTAAATAGTATTAACACATATTTAAAAAATAATGCTGAAAATAATAATAATAATAATAATAATAATAATAATAATAATAATAATAATAATAATAATGATATTGATCATTACCATGATTGATAACAACAAGATAATGTATTTCAATTGAACGTCAATATAGCCTATATAACTGGCATTAAAAATGGTACCAAAATTAGTTTTAAATACAGATTATGTGTACGTCATTATTTTTCTACTTTCCAGAGCCTTGTATTTAGAAAAACACATGTTATGCTGTACAATACATACAAAAACAATTTACTAAGAAAACTGTCCTTACAGCTTACCCCAAATTATATAAAGAAAAAAATCAAGACATAACATTAATGATAATATTACAAGCATTAACCATCACTAAATAATTATTTTCTAAGAGACCATTTCTTTTCGAATTCCTCACTCCTTTGAGTGAGACCTCTTAAGATATTCTTTAAGTTCATAAACATTTGGTTTTGTAGTAGACATTTTCTTTTTATAAATATAGTATTTTGTACAAATTTAAATATAATGATATGTAATAAATTATTATTTGTCATTATTATTTATATTTCGAAATATCAACAATTTTATATTCATATGTAATTGTATTAGGAAGCCAAATCATTACTGTTTTCTTCATGTTGGCTGAGAATATACATATATGACATATATGTATACACAACATATACTTACATAGGCCTACATGCTAATATTTATATATAAAGAGCAAAATGTGCAAGGCCTATAATATATAGCTCTCTTATGTACGGACACTAGGTATCTAGGCATAATAGTTATAGCGATTGGTTTACACTCATAAGCAACGTAGGTACAGCAGATGTTCCCATCGAAATTGGACTCAAACATATTTGCCTTAACTAATTGGTTACAAAACACATCCATATGAGGAGTCTAGTCCTTAATATTACTCGACTATACGATTTACAACTTTTGGGATACTCTGGACGGATGGAGCAATGCACTACGCTCTAATAGTTGTAATCTTCCATTTATGATAAACCTCACAAGACTGTTTCTTAATGAGGAGTTGGTGAGAAATTTAATTGACGTGATATAATCACAGTCAGTTTTTAAAATTCTACTTTTAAGTTTTTTAGGCGGTTTTCGACTACAATTATGTTTCATTTTAATATGTTTACGTATTGTTTGACCAATCACAGACATCGAATTATTCTCTAGAATTACAAAATCATCATTATGTATTTTAAGTTTAAGGTTTTCACGAATAATCAATTCATTTAAGTGGATCCAAATTGATGCGGGCCAAATTGTTTTTCCGTACTTGATTATGCTCCCCATTTCGTCTGCCCTGTAATTTCCAAAGCATCGTTCATCTTCCGCCTTTTCTGCTTTCCATTTACCCATATGAAGTTCAAAGGATAACCGTGCACTTAATCTCGTCTGCGTATTATCTGAGTTTAGCATTTCAACTAAAAAAAAATTTTTTTTTGGCTGTATACATTTTTAAGAGGTTACTTATTCCTAGCCCACCTTTACTTTTTGCAAGATCAGAGGTCGATGAAGAGTAAGTCCTAACCAATTCCTCACATAGTTCACATATAGGCCTTATATATATATACATATATACATATATATATATATATATATATATAAATCATCAATGAAAGGTAAATACAGTGTTTCGATTAGTGTTAACGGCTATTTTGATTTATATAGGCATATATATATATATTATATATATATAAATCAAGGTAGCCGTTAACACTGTTAAATTATATACATAAATCATCAAAGAAAGATAAATACAGTGTTCGAATAAAGGACATAATAATACATCGTGTAAGATAGCTCTCAACGAATGTAGTCCTGTAAATAAATGAATAAAGAAATTGTGTAATAAAATGCCTCTGGCGGGACTCGAACCTGCGACCGCTCGCTGTCAAGGCGAGCGTCATAACCATTACACCACGGAGGCTACCATAAGTACGGCTAGAAACAAATAATTGCATAGAATAAATTTGGTATATTTTTAAAAATATAACTGTGATCATTTTCATTATTAGATGTGTATAAGAGACAGTATATATATAATATTGATTAGCACGCGTGTTCCAAAATAGATAGATAGGCCTATCATTTACCGATATGTTTAATATATTTATTGTGCTGCTCAACATTTCCTATGTATGTGTAAATGTAGTCTGATAATATATCAACAAAAATAAAAACGTCATAAAACAATTACCTGGCAACCAGATGAAAACCATGAAGATAAACACACATAAGAGACGCATCATCATCATTATATTTTCTGCAAAAATTGTTTAAAAAAAAAGAAGGGAATTAGAAAGAGGGCCTAGTAAGCCTATTATCATAAAGCGGGCCTAATCAGGCTTGAATAATCCCACCTTTGTTTTTGTAGTTTTGAAGATGACAACCACCACTTTAATTCATCAATATATCAATTACATTACAATCACAGTACAATTATACTGCATTACTATTATGCTTTGATATTTCACATATTTTCTTTATTTTCTCTTTTTTTGCACTAGTCATTGACTCTCATATAGAAAATAAAATAAATTCAATGCAATTGTATAACTATAAATATCATAAAATAAAAAGCATAGACCTCTATTTATTCAAAATAAATACAAAGAGGATGTTTGAACACTTCGTGCTAGTTATCAACCTTGATAAACAGAACATGAAAAAAGTATCAAGAAGTAGTAAGACAACTGAAAGAATAAATTGCGCAGTGGCGGATTTAGAGGAGGCGTAAAGATCGTACGCCCCCTCTATTTTTGGTAAAACTTACCGTATTTTTTGTAAAGCTTTTCAGAAAATTACCAATACCAATAGTGAAAATCAATCAAATGCAAACTCAAATTTATGAATGTACCAGAGGTTTAAGAAGGATTCGCCCCTTGCACACCTCAGGGGTTTAAGCTCCCCGACAAGGGGTCCAGGCCTCCGGTCGGGGATGCCTAACTCACACCCCCCCCCCCCCTCGCCGGTCGGGGAAAAATAATTTGTCGGGGAATTTTTTAAAATTAAAAGATAATAAAATTTGGTGTTAATTATGGGATTCTGTATTTAAAAATGATATCAAGGGTACTAGTCCACCTGTCGGGGTGCTAACCCCCTGTCGGGGAAGAGCTGACGCACCACTGCAACCCGTACGATAGTAATCGCACATACGGTGGGCACTGCTTGCACTAAATTAAAACAGTTTTTAATCCCTAAAATGTTGACAGCTTATTAAGACATGCTTGAATTGTATATTCGGTGCTCGAGATTTGATTTTTCCCCGACGGCCTTGCTGGAAATTCCCCGACAAGGGGTCCAAGTGGGGGTCCAGAGTTTCCCGACGGGGATCCTTTCTCCCCCCCCCCCCACTTACCAGGGGCTCTTCCCTGAGACTCTCACTCAGTTCGCACATTTACGAGGCTGGATCTGCCCCTGATAGAGATCAAGAAGAGCAGGAATATAGATGAGGTGCCATAAATAAGAAATTCAAAGTAATTATGTCAGATAAATTTATCAACACCTTTCATTTAGCAAACCGGTCGTTTGATTTTTCTAGATGGAAGAAAAACAAGATAAGATATTTATTTCTCCTAAGTTCTATGAACCGATTTAATGCAATTTTGAAAAGATATTTAGGCCTGCATAAAGTCCGTACATTTTAAATTTATTTTATACACCTAGTTTTATGCATTTTGCTTTAAACTGTTGAGATCTCAATTTTAGCCATATTTTTACCAATTCAATTTTCAAATTTTAACCTTTAGATTTATATTTTAACTTTGTACGATGTGATGTATGTGTTGTATGTTTTAGTGTGCGATTGTATCACTAGCTATACTATTTTAATCTGTGAACTAACAATCGGAATTTCAAATCGTATATTTTACTGTGTTTTCTACAATAAAAATTGAATTGAATTGAGTGGCAGTGCAGAGAGGGGTGCTGATCGAGGTGCCTGAGTATCGCCCTTTTCCAAACGTAAAGAAAATATTGTAGGCTAAACTAATGGAAGTAAATGGCATTACCAAGACATTAACAAGTTAATTTGTAATGAAAAGTTCATTATCTGAACAAAATTCTTATTTTTTACACATTTATTATTACCGGGTGTAACTTAACTTCTTCTAGTCCGACTTTCTGCGTTGTTACTTCATTTAATACATTGCAGTGTTTACGTTTACGCAAACCTTAATATATTGTTTCATTTAAGTTAGAATGTAGTTCATGTAATCTAGGCCTATTCATAGAATAAATATGTAATATTACCAAATCCTAAGCCATGATGGGACCGAGGCGAATTTTTATTGTGGCTCGTTATGTTGAAGGTGCGTACGATGGACCATGGACCACCACCTGTTGGGGAAATGCTGACGCTCGGTTAAGCTTCGTGTAGTCTTGTGTAATATTCAAACAACCCCCTTTTCGATATCCTGGCTCGCCACTGCATGAAAACGTTAGAGAGCGCATACAAAACTGTAATTTGACATTTTATCGGATAACTCAGGGCTGTGGATACACACCACATGTCAATCTCCAGGGCCGACACAAGTTAATAACCTATTTACAGACACACCACAAAAGAAAATATTTCAATGCATAGCATGATTGTCATTTAATGACGAAAGTCGTGAAATACAAAAACATGGTCAGTGGGAACAATTTTTAGTCTCTAATGCAAAAGACACTATTCGTGCTCGGTAAACAGTAAAAACATTAAATACATTAAAAAGTAGAGTAGCTGTATGTTCGTTTTTTGGTGATGTTTAGTTATCAAAATAGTTTAGCGCCATCAAACGGCTCTAGTCAGTTCTTTCCTTGCGTTCAGTAAAAGCTCAAACTCTCGTATCTCATACTATTAAAAATAACATGTAACTTTAAAATTGACAATTAGTACACATTTTCAGACTTAATACATTATTAATACAGAGATTAATTACTTTTATATTCTAAACCCAAAATATAATTCAAATTATATTTATTATTAGTCAATAGGCTTAACTTTTTAACAGTTTATATTTCACGTTTACCGTCACTTAATCGAGTAAAAGTGAAGTAATTTCAGGAAACATTAGTTTTATTGCAGTGTTTGCGTTTTCGTTGGTTTTGAACATAAGAATAAATTTGGTATATTTTTAAAAATATAACTGTGATCATTTTCATTATTTCGTTGAAATCATTAACGAAATGATTACAGTAGGCAGTCTCGTTATTTTTAATTTAATGGATAAGTCCTTAAGGGCTTACTGACTGAAATTTCTTAAAGTAATTATTTTAAAAGGCTACATCAGCTTTGTTTATTAATCACCCTTACCTTACTTCTTGTATCCAAATGTATAAAATAAATTTTAAAGCGACACTTGTGTTTCAACAATTGTGCAAGCAATGTGCATTATTGCGCAGTTACAACTGCATTAGATCCTAATGATGCGCTTGGCAGTCTCTAGATAAACATAACACGCTGTTGCTGAGCAACGTTTATCATGCAAATTTGATTGGATGGTAACAAGCTAAACACGAAATGCTGACAAAAAATGATTAAATCAATTATATCGAATATCGAATTTGGATAATTAACTCTATCTGGTCAGCCGTAATGACAATATATTTACACCAAGAAAGAAATATTTATACTTGCGTCAGAAATGTACATTAATTGATTAATAGTAAAACATTTCCTCTGTCGGAATATCTAGACAATGCATTGTTTAATTATAATTGAAACACCCACATTCTAAATACCTATTTTTATTATTTTTATGGGAACCATTCTATAAATACGGTTTGTAATAATTACCTACGATGATCAGAGTTTTATCATTTAGTTGTACAGTTTATTAAAAAAGAAGACATAATGATGAGAACAAAGATAAAGTTTCCAATAAATATGCGAAAAAAGTGTTTTTTTATAGCATCACGTTGCATTATATACATTATTAATATTGAGAATACAGTATACAGCATTATAATACTAAATTAAATATAATATATATATATATATATTAAAATAGGATGAATTGAGTTCCACGTATGTCTCACAAATTGATAAAAGCATATAGAAAAGTAAAATAATTGTCATACGTTGACATTATAGACATACAATTTATTTCAAACGAATATTTCGGACACGAAATATAAATATATATATATATATATATATATATATATATATATATTATTATTATATATCATGAAAAAACGTCAACCGCCTAGATTATTTTTCTTGTCTTCGTTTTACTATATATATATATACTGTATTTATATATATATACATTATATATAATATTATAATATAATATAAATATAATATGCATAGTTTTATACACATATGTACAATGGTCATATTTTTTTTGCATCTACGTGTGTTTGAATTATTATATTATCACACACGGGGTTCCTGCACATAAATAGAAAGACAGGCCTATACATATAATACAAAGGGTACGCCATAAAAGCAATGTGGGCTGAAATTGGTGTGATTTCGTAATTAAACTTTTTATAAAATCATTTCACGTTAAAACCTATTTAATCTAATATTCAGAAAAACATGGCCCCTTGGTTTGTTCACTTGTTTGCATCCATTTTACAACATATTGGCTCAGCTCTTTTTTTAACTATGAACTAGGACGAATTGTTCATAAACCATAGTAAAAATAGTGCATAGCTAGTAGAACAATGTTTGTGTCCCTCGTCGTTTGCCTGTGGAGAATACACACAACATGACACATCTGGTATGCGCAATACTCGTGATTAAAATACACCGTCGTGCGTGCACTTACGAGCAAAATACACCTTTGTGCAATGCATGAATGCACAAAACGACTGCTACAAGTGCGAGATGGAGTTTCATAGCTGCAACACCGCACATGACTTCTTTGCACTTTATGTATTCTGAATTCTCATCGTTTACGGTCCAGGTTGCATTGGCGTGTGGCTTAAAATTAACACACAGGTGCGTATATTCACACTTTGTTATATTCACCATCGGCAGTGTAGCAACAGCAGAAAATGTGTATGTCTCCCCGGCTGCCAGGTTTCTTCCGACATCTGCCGCCGGTTCTATGGTAGCTTCTTCATTGACGAAATAATGCACGTTATTATCATCGGGACTAGTTGCCGTGGCATTTGTGAGTATGAAGTAACATGCCCAGTTACTGGTTCCAGTCACGGGACTTGAAGATGAAGGAAGGACAATGGATACTTTAACGTTTACATTCTGCCCAGTTTCGAGCCCAAATATAGCATCATCAGGGTTTGTAATTTTCACCTCTGATACCTTATATACTATAGATGGATCTGAAAGATATAATATTAATAAATTGAGATTACTAATAAACATGACGTAACGGATATATTTTATACAGACAAAATAACTGATGCTTAATTTCCAGACATCACCGGTTGACAATTAAATCCGCTTATCACTTGGGACGAGAGATAATGAAATAATAATAATAATAATAATGATAATAATAATAATAATAATAATAATAATAAATATAATAATAAATCAATCCGTTCTTTTAAAATGCATTCCTCAAAGCCTTTACAGCAAAGAAGCACAAGCAGTAAATAAACTACTACAGGTACCTGTAGGTATTACAAATATTTATAGCTTAATATTGAATTTTAATACAGAATATAACATGATTCATTAATTCAACGATTGAAATACATATTAAAGTTTAATCATAAATCCACTGTACATACGACAGTGTAGATCCACAGAGTGGAGTTGAATAGCTTAGTGGGTAAGATACTTGACTTCTAATCCCAGGATCCTGGGTTCTATTCCAGTGATTGCAGGACTTTTTCTTACGACTAAAACAACTCCACTTCCTAAGCCTCATGAAGGGACTTCGCTGATAAAGCATCACATTATTTCACTTATTTAAGAGGGCCCCTAAATATCAGCCGACCTTCTAGGATACACTGGAATTGTCACCCTTTATAAATATGGTAAAAAAATCATTATTATTATCTGAAAAAGAAGGTAAATCCTCTTTTTGATACAGTCATTACCAGAATGATGCCAACAAAAGAAAACAACCTCTACAAGAAAATATTTCGGTGTCGAATAATTAATACTTTCTTATTTAATTTTTTTTTTTGTTTTCTTATTTTTATTTTTACTTTTACTTTTTTAATTATTAGAAATCGAAATTGTTTACTGTAAAAGTTTAGGACAAAGAAAGAATATAAGACAATTATTGATAAAAATCGAAGGTGATCAACTTATAACAGAATAAAAGATGCGAGAAAGAAATTATGAGAATAGAAATAGCATGCGGAGCATTTGGCAGTTGATTCAAATTATCAACATCAAGAAATTTCAGTTTAAATTCCAGGAGAATTTATCATGTTATTTATGGTAATTATAGTGGAAAATCATTAGACCCATACGGAAAAATAAAGTCAGCAACGTGTGGCGGTGCGGTGTATAGAGCAGAAAGTATTTGTGGTTCAAATATTATGCACGTATATCTATAGATCTCTTTAGTCTAAATGACACTCGTCCTGATAGCGAGAGTTTGCAGATTCGAATCACACCAGAATCACCTTTTTTTATACAAATTAATATAAAGGAACTTTTCGTTGAAGGACTATGTTTGATACGATTATAACATCTCGTTCCAATTTGAGTACCAGATATTATTCTCCTGAAGACGATTGAAGCAACTCAATCGAAACGTCACTCTTGAATCACTAAAACACTTAGTGCAAAACTTGAGGCTACTCAGAAGCGTGTTTGCCGTATTATTCTAGGAAAGAACTATCAGACCTATAAACATGCTAGAACTCTTTGTAATTTGGATCCCCTCATGAGAGGAGAGCAGCCCACTGCCTCAAATTTGCTAAAGGCCTTTCTCTTACTAATCATTCTGCTGATCTGATTCCCCCTACCCGACAACAATCTCATGGTAAATGCAAAACCAAAAGATTTTCTAATAGTCCCATACCTTTTTACATTCAATTACTCAATTTCTCTTAATCCCTCCTCCCCCTTTAGTCTTCCTGGCGATTGAAGCTCTGGCTGCTCCCCTCTCTTAGAACAATCAAGTTATCAAGTTGCTCCACTTGCACGTCTTTGTATA